ACATGGGACCACCAGACCCGGTGGCTCACTGGGACACTTCGTGGCAGCCGATTAGCGGAGTGACGTTACTTTCTGCGTGTTTTAAGGGTGTTAAACGGTGTTAAACGCGATAAACCGCCCGCTTCCCCTCTGGGGCCCCAGCGCACAGTCGTTGCTGTAACTTGCAAGTCACTTCTGTTAATGTTAAAGTTAAATATATCCATGGCTCGAATGCCCCCGCCGAGCACTTCAAATCATTTGCACACGAGCGACACGTCCGCCGGGCTCCGAAGCCGGAGGCCGCTCGCTCCGGCGGGACGCAGGAAACGTCCCGTTACGGGTCGCCGCTGGAAGTCACGGAGCCCGAATGGAGACGTTAGCATCCAAAGCGACGGCGTGCAGCGCGTTGCTCGCAGAGCTCCACGAGGGTTGGAAAGTTCTACGTACTAACTTAACTTAACTTTACAGGACTTCACCGAGCAGAAAAAGAAGAAGAAGAAAAAAAATCTCCGACGACCGTCGATGATATTTTCGTTCCAGGCGATAGCTGGAGCCCGTCGCGGCCAGTTAATTAGCCGACGTTAGTTTTTCCAACTCTCAGCCGAGCGTACGGTGGCTTCACAGAAAGCCGGTGACCGAAGCGAATACTGTCGCGAGCCAAACGCACGAGCTCGGTATGGACCTCGGTCTGCTTCCTAAATGTAGTGTCATAGCGTTTACTTCAACTGATAAAGCGGTAACTTCCAGCCGGTTTTATGAGTTAGTGTTCACCCCAGTACTTAGTCAGAGCCCAAAAACCCAAGAACATCCTTTACCTTGAAGCGTTTTAAACCAGCAGCAGCAAACGTCGTCTGCTCCTCATGCACCGAAGTACAGAGCTACTGCTACCAGACCAACGACCACAATGCATTAGCTATTTATTCCAGAGTTAGCATTGCTAGGTCTCCACTTGAAAAGCTAGCCACTACTGAGTTAGCTGGCTAGTTCCCATTGACTCCCGGTCCAGCCCGTGCAGTAGTATAATACGTGTACACAACAGCCTGCGGAGCGCAGACACACGGCGGCCTACCAAATGTTTACATCGCACGGCGCATGCGCAGTCAGCTCACGCGACTCGACAGCACCGCCACGTGTTCGTGAGGAAGAACCGCACCTTAAAAACCCCGAACTAGTTCCACTTTTTTTTTTCATTTCTCCAAAAAGAGTAAAGATTGAAAATACTTGTTGTTGTGGGTGGAAGAGAAAATAGAAGTGTGTTTTATTTCGCAAACTAACCTCTTTCTGTATAGCACAGCCGACGTTGAGTTGGATTTGTAAAATCTAAATAAGGGTCACGCATGTTGTCCTGGTTGGACCATCTGTAATCGCTGTCTTAAAACCAGTAACTAGTGGAGTGTGTTCTATGTCATTAGGGTTTTCCACTAACATTCACCTCCTGGAGGCCTGAGCTCCCACCAGAGCGATCTTCACTTATACTGATACTTACTTTGTGGTTCATAAGTCACCTTTTCTATGTATAGCACTGTTGTAGAGCACAGACAGAACATTATTTAGACATTTTATCTTGAATTTTAGAAACTTTACATGTCAGGGATGCATTGAAATTGTCCTCAATGTCAACAATAGGATACAATATTTCAAATATGGTAGCACCAAAGACAGGAGGGCAGAGCGTATGAGACCATGTGTTATGAAAAGGGAGCATCTCAGCCATGTCCCTGTTACTCACACGTTCACCAGGTACATGACTGCGTGTCCCCCCCATCTATGAGATTTATTCAAGTGAAAGTGAAGGTTGAGCCCAGCATATTAGGTTCCAGCTTCCTTGTCAGTACTCTTTGATCACTTACCTCAAGTTCATTGCTGAGAAAAAATATACTTTTGTTCGGGTAGACTTGAGGTTCGAACACCGGCGCGTCAGTGGACATTCAATTAATGGACGTTATCCTCTTAGTTAAATCGGAAAATAACCAGCAATCAACTTGTGAAAAGTCTGATCTTCGGCAGTAGACAGTCCTCAAAAAATAAAAACCATCAACCGAAATCCAAATGAACTCATGTAAAGTGGAAACCGACGAGGAGCTCCTTCTCTTCGTCTAAGCTGACTTTAACTCAGCTGTCAATTGAAACTCATGAGGTGACCACATCCCTCCTCTGGTGAAAGCCGAGTGCCTCGACTCACATACCGAACAGTTTTGTAGCTTACTTTTCAGGTTTTCCGTGGGAGCGGTGACGCACGTCTTTTGTTGGTGGTTGAACACTCCTCTGCCCATTGAAGGAGCTGAACAGCAGCTGACGTTGGAGGTTGGAGGTGGAAACAACATGGAGACTGTGTACCACGCCATCTGATACCCCGTCACAACAATCAATCTCCGTCTGACAGACGTAAATAATTAGAGAGCTACGAGCACAGGGCGGAGTACTAATTGCCCGTAATGCAGGTTAAAAGCCACAAAAGTTATTCAAATGCAATGAAAATGAACGCTAACAAATATCAGTAGATTTGTGTTGGGCAGGTGAGCAAAGGCCGAAATCATTTATTGGAATTAGATTTGAAATTGACCTATTACTCGTTTAAGTGTGGCTGTGCTGGTATTGTTTGCAGTCCCGCCCTCATCCCCAGATGTTCTCTACTGATGCTCACTGGCTAAATAAAGGATGGAGTTTCTGCTCGATGGGTAATAATACCTGACTCAGCATGGTGACCCCTGAAGCTGTAGTGGTAGATATTATCTCTGAATAGCACCAATGACACTATCTTCCAGAGTCCACTAGGAGTAGACGGTTGAATCTACTCTTGATTGAACAAAGGGATACTTCAGTATAAACTAAAAGACAAGCTTCACATTGAAGGCACCAAAAGAGTTTTAGTTCAGCTTTCATTTGCAAAGTGCACCTAAAACTGGCACTGCAACTTACTGACATGTCATACTAATAATGAGAGTGCAGAAAGGGTCGACGGCAGCAATCTGCAGGATCGTAGCCGACCCCTCTCACCCCGGACAAAAACAGTTTGTGCCCCCATGTGGCAGGAGGCTGAAGTCCATCAGGACCAAGACCTCCGGCCACACAAACAGTTTCCTCCTCATCAACAGAGCCCGTGTGACTGACTGACTCTGACATCCCACCGGTCACTCCCTTCACACTCCACATGCACACACACATACACACGTCACTTTCACATACACTCACAACACAGTTGTGTAGAGAATGGCTATCTATTTGCTGTTGCACTTTATTTTTAACTTGTATTCCTTTATTTTTTAACTAACCCATAGCCTTATATTTTATTTTATTTTATTGCACTATGTCGTCTTATCTGTCTTGTTGCCCATTGTCTACTGTTATGCACCAACCGCCAAGTAAAATTCCTTGTATGTCTGACATATTTTGGTAATAAATGTGTCCTCATCCTGATAAATATAGAAACACAAAAGTTTTTTGCCTTTTCAAATTAAGGGACTGATCTGAGAGTTCATGTATTCATAATCAACAGCTGAGAGTCTATTTTCAGCATGAAGCGTCTTGTTAATGCTGCAAACGAGGAGGCAGACGAGTTGAAAGAGTAGGAGTGTTGCTCTTTGTTTGAAAGAAAACAAAAGAAGGAACGGCGAGATGAGTGGATTTGGGGTTGGGTGAAAGTGAGACAACTTTCGTTCCAACGTTCCATTCATACCACGGCATCCCTTTAATATACCTCTGTGTGTATCCAGTTAATTATAAAAAATGTTGAGATGTCCTCAGCTTTACCCTGATTACTTTTTAAAGAAAATGCACAATGTCATGGCATAAGATCTATTGAAACCACAACACGATTAATACTACACATTGGCCTCAAAACCCTGGCAAAGCCCCCGGTCTGGACTCAGTCTTCCCCCCACACCCTGAAGCATTGTGCTGACCAGCTGTCTCCGGTGTTCACTGACATCTTCAACACCTCCCTGGAGACATGCCACGTACCAGCCTGCTTCAAGGCCTCCACCATCATCCCTGTTCCCAAGAAGCCCAGGATCACAGGACTCAATGACTACAGGCCCGTCACCCTGACCTCTAGTCATGAAGTCTTTTGAACGGCTAGTCCTGTCCCACCTGAAGACCCTCACCGACCCCCTCCTGGACCCCCTTGTAGTTCGTCTACAGAGCCAACAGGCCTGTCTCAGCCTCTCGGTCCATCAGCACGGGTTCCCCCCAGGCCTGCGTTCTTTCCCCTCTGTTCTTCTCCCTATAACACCACCAGCTGCACCTCCAGCCACCAGTCCACCATCAGGCTCCTGAAGTTTGCAGATGACACCACCCTCATTGGACTGATCTAACTAGATCCTGGCGTAGGTTCCAGATTGAAGAAGTGGAGGGCCATGTTTACCGCGTCCTCTAATGACCTGTTGGCTCTGTAGGCAAACTGCAGGGGGTCCAGGAGGGGGTAGGTAAAGGTTTTTAGGTGGGACAAGACAAGGCGCTCAAAAGATGTCATGACTACAGAGGTCAGGGCGATGGGTCTGTAGTCCTTAAGTCTTGTGATCCAAGGCTTTTTGGGGGACGGGGATGATGGTGGAGGCCTTGAGGCCGGCTGCTATGTGGCATGTCTCCGGGGAGTGAGGATGCATCCCAAAGGGGGTGAACAGCTTAATGTTTGATCAAAGTTGTGAATGAGTATGTGGTGGAAAGCCCCTCTCAAACCGCCCCCATTCTGGCAGTATGAATAGAATAGATACAATGAAATAAATGAGATACATGTGTTGTCGTTTCAGTGAAATAGGTTGCCAAAAAACACACTTTGAAAAACTTTGAAAATTTGAAAAATGATGTGATGATTAAAAAAAAGAGAAACCGTGTCCAGATTTGAATCACACTCATAATAATTATATTCCGGGCAAAAGGCAGTCTAAGAGTGGAGTAAGGAGCGCTGTTATTTGGGTAAATGGCAGCACCAGGTCGACAGGGGGCAGAGTGTTGAATCCTCGGCGGCGCGCGGCCGACCGGCTCATCCTGTGACGCGCTACTTACGGAGCACGCGCACCGAGCTCTTCCTTTTTCCAGTGCAGCGGAGTCAAGCCCTGTCTTTGGCTCCGGGCTCCTTCCTTAAGGAGACAAAAAGTCTGCAAAAATGGTTTGTAATTTGTCCCAATATGCGTCTACATCCGTGCCTGAGACACACATCGTGTGCTGTGCGGTGTCAGACATTTAGAATCGTGTCGCTGATGTTCAGATGAAGGTAGATTGAGTCCGGCTAATGGCTAACCCGGTCTGCTCAAACGTGGCCTAATGGCTGCCCTCACAGAGCCAGCGCTTCATTTCTCCTCCGCGATGTTGTCCCTTGATATTTTCCCCATTCTGCGACCACCGAGTCGCCAATTTAACACGCCCCGAGTTTCCACGTCGCGGATTCGCTATCGTCTCTTTGGCCGATCGTAGCCGTCGTGCTAACGTGTCCGTTTGCGCTGGCCGAGCCGGCTAATGCTAACGCGCTCTGACAGCACCGAGTGCAGTAAGGTGGACGTGTTTTCCGTGGCTGTGTGTTTTTGTCCCCGACACTGAAGTTGATGCGTGTCTGCTTGCAGGGTTTTGTTAAGGTAGTGAAGAACAAGGCCTACTTCAAGAGGTACCAGGTCAAGTTCAGGAGGAGGCGAGGTGAGACACCCTCTTGACTGCCATGCCGGGGTTTGATGACCTGTCAAAGTAAAGCATGGTGTCATTTTTGCTAATTCTTCCTGCGCTTTCATCCAGAGGGCAAGACTGACTTCTTTGCCCGCAAGCGCCTGGTCGTACAGGACAAGAACAAGTACAACACACCCAAGTACCGGATGATTGTCCGTTTCTCCAACCGGGACATCTGTTGCCAGGTGAGTGCTTGCCGAGATGAACCGGTGTCTTAATCTGAAAGGCCAGAGATCAGCTTTGACCTGTTTAGAAGCTGACGTAACGTTGATATGGCCTCCATGACGCCAAATCGCTAGTTTCTGACCAACTAGAACGTGCCCATACAAACATAAAAAGCAAGGTATGGAGTTTTTGGGACACCTCCATCATTGCAGCAATACAAGTTGCTTTACAACGTGCGCCGTCATGGAAATACCCGGTTGTCGTGGTGGCCGATGAACGTACTCATGCTTTTCATTGATTACTTGTGATTGCGTTGCAGATCGCCTACGCCAAGATTGAGGGCGACATGATCGTGTGTGCTGCCTACTCGCACGAGCTGCCAAAGTACGGGATCTCCGTTGGCCTGACGAACTACGCAGCCGCCTACACCACCGGTCTGCTGGTGGCCCGTAGAGTATGTCCCAGCTCCTCTGTGTGCACACGCTACCCTGAATGAGATCAGTTCCGCTGTAGCGGGTGTTGATCTTGAATGGCTTGTCACCCTCAGCTGCTTCACAAGTTCGGCCTGGATAAGGTGTACGAAGGCCAGGTGGAGGTGACCGGTGACGAGTTCAACGTGGAGAGCGTCGACGGTCAGCCGGGCGCGTTCACCTGCTACCTGGACGCTGGGCTTGCCAGAACCACTACTGGCAACAAGGTGTTTGGTGCCCTGAAGGGTGCCGTGGATGGCGGCCTGTCCATCCCACACAGGTAACCTGCCGCGTCCAGGAGCTGATGCTTTTCTTGGCTGTTGAAGAAAAGATTTGTCCTTTTTTCTTAAGCAACACCTTGAATGCAATGTGTTGGTTTAGACTGGAAGTTGGATCATTTCTACTTAAGTGTTTGCGGCTGGTAGCGTTGAAATATTCAACGTGTACATGATTGTAAATTACTTTTATGATTCCTTTTAGGAGACTTGGCTCAACAAAGGTAGCACTAATTTTCATACTTTTGAGTCAAAACTGTTTTAATGAACGCTATCTTCCAGTGAGCTTTCTTTTCAAATGGCACTCCAGTCCAAGTGCACATAAATGAACTTGTAATACTGGCTGAATCGGTGAAGTCGATTAAGTGGCTAGTTGGTGTTAACTCATCGTCATGTTGATGTGAATGTAATTGAAGGCATGTTTTTGTAACTGCTTTGACAGATATTGAGCTACAGTTCTCGGGCCTTTTCTAATACATGAGATATCTAAACACTAAGGGTTTGAAGAGGGAGGCGCTTGTATGAAGGGGACCAGCACAGGCTGAATGGCGGCGTGAAAAGTTATTTAGTTGCTTGTCAAGTGGTCAACTCGTCCTGTCCGATGCTGTCCACGTTTGGCGATTACGACCCTTTGAGTTTACATTTTCTGTGCAGTTGTTGGCTGAATAAAATACCCAGCGCTGAATTGTCTTCCTAGGAGATGATTAAATTTATTGAGAACAAATTGCATGGACTTCATACTGAATTGTTCATTCAGTTGTGAAACTGGAGCTGTGGTTACAAATGGACTCCTGTGGCAGGTTCTGTTCTCAGTCAAAACATCCTGTTTGAGAGGAAGCAAGAGAACGGCAGCAGAGCTTGATGGCAGAAGACTGAGATGTTGTCATGATGATGCGCCCGTAAACGGAGCTCATACGCAATCTCACGCGGCGCTGTTTGGATAAGGCACACGAGACGTGCCCTGACATAAAGTCCCCCGGTTGTGCTCAACTATGAAAAGTCATATAAATGCTTACAGATCTTCCTGGGATGCGCACATTGTTTAATTTGTATTCCCCCCTCAGCACCAAGCGCTTCCCTGGGTATGATCCAGAGAGCAAGGAGTTCAACGCAGAGGTCCACCGCAAGCACATCATGGGCGTCAACGTGTC